CGGCAGAGCTGCACTCTCCCCCCCCCCCCCATAGCTAGCAACCCAAAACAGTCAGGTGGAGCCTGAGCGGTGGGTGTTGCCTTCTGACACACTTCCGGTGATGTCAGGGGGTGTGGTATATGCACATAAGTTATGCTAATAGGTTATGCTAATGAGCTCCTGCACCTGTTTTTCTGCAAAATGATCCCTGGATAGATTCACATGAACACATCCCTGGATAGATTCACATGAACTACCTTTGATAGAAGAGACACACATCCAGACGTATTTGTTACCAGAACTCTTTGGAGAGTGTGTGCAGTTACCATGAGAGATTATCCATGGCCTACTACATAAACGTTCAGCAATTGCACATCACGTGAGAAAGCAACACCTGGCTCTAAAGAAAATCTTTGCTCTTATATTTATTTCTGGATGCTTGTTGTGTTACAATAGTAATATTGACCACTGAGGAAGGCCCTAAGGGGCCGAAACGCATATGGTCTACTGGGCATAAGATACCCCCATCAATTGTATATGTAAAACCTTCAGCTCTGCGTGTAAAAAGTTTTAAGAGTCTGATATTTCAATCATTTCTTTTAACCTATTTTATCCTTTACTAATGGGTAAGTAAAGGTTCCCCTTGCTCGAAAGCCAGTCAAATCTGACTCTAGGGTTGCGGTGCTCATCTCTGTTTCCAAGCCGAAGAGCCAGCGCTGTCCGAAGACTTCTCTGTGGTCATGTGGCCGGCCTGACTAGATGCCGAGGCGCACGGAATGCTGTTACCTCCCCACCGAAGCGGTACCTATTTACCTACTTGCAATTTCTTGCTTTTGAACGGCTAGGCTGGCAGGAGCTGGGGCCAGAGATGGGAGCTCACTCTGTCATACGGCACTTGGGTCTTGAACTGCCGAACTGCTGATCTTCCGGTCTGTTTGCCATTGCCTGCCTCTGCGTAGCCACCCTGGACTTCCTCCCATCCAAACAGGGCTGACCCTGGTCAGCTTCCGAGATCAGGCCAGGAGAGGTGGCGGGAAATAGCATCGAGTCGCAGCCGACGTATGGTGATCCTTGCAAGGTTTTCAAGGCAAGAGATGCTTCAGAGGTGGGTTTGCCATTTCCTGCCTCTGAGCTTAGAAGCCCGGGACTTCCTCGGAGGCCTCCCATCCAAATGCTAACCGGCGCTGACCCCTGGCTCAGCTTCTGAGATCGGATGAGGTTGGGCCAATCTGGGCCGTCCAGGTCAGAGCATTTCACGCACACTGAGACGCACACAGAAACGACCGAGACGGGATAGAGGCCTAATTATTTATTGGCAGAGGTGAACAGGGCAGGGGAGCAGTTTCCCAATCACCGGGCTGCCTCTGCGGCCGGATGCAGAGACGCTCGTAATACTGAAAATCCCTGGGCGGTAAAAGGCCCTTGCCCGGAGAAGCCTCCGCATCCGACAGAAGCGAGGCAGGAGGCACCCGAGGGGGCCGAGGAACGCCAAGTGCAGCCCCCCGCTCGGCCGGCCAAGGCGTCTGGGTGCCGGAAGGTCAGTCCTTGATGCAGGTGAAAAAGCCGCCATCGGGACGGGAGAAGGGCCCCAGGGACATGTGCAAACCTCCTCAGCGAGGAGAGGCTGCGCGAGACCTGCGTGGAGACACCCCCTCCCCCCTTTTTTTCCTCATGGGTCAAGGTTGAGGAGGAAGAGCTGAGCGCCGCCCCTCCCCTCCTCACAAAGTGATCTTGGTGTTTCGGAAGCTGGAATTGTCCCTGAAAGATAAAGGGAGAAAGAAGGTTAGCGGACCCATCGTCCAAGGCGACTGCGTTTCGTCCACGGTGCCCGGGGACGATTCACACATGAGATTTGTTCAGGGTCCCCCCCCCCCGAATGCAACTAACATGCATGATTCTCTAGGCACAGCAAAGGTATCACGCGGCAGGAGTAGCCCACAGACCAAAGATGGCCAGGTGGAATCTGGAATTGCAACGACCTGTTTTCTGAGATCTAGGAACTCTCTATGGCCGACAGGCCCTTCTCTGTCACAATTTCTCCATGTGTGTTGGTGGAGGAGGGATTCCTGGGTGTGCAAATATCTGAGCAAAAGGTGAAACTGTGTCATGAATGATTCATAACACCGCTAGGACTATGGGCAGGCTCTATGCTTGTCTGTCGCCCTCTAATAATTTCCACTGTAAAAAAAGGTAAAGGTTCCCTTGCTCGAAAGCCAGTCGAATCCACTGTAGGAGGGTGAAAAATAGGGTTCCTGCTCAGCCTTCTCCTTGTTGTTTAATCTAACGCAGGGGTCCCCCCAGCCATTCTGAGCCTGCAGGCACCTTCGGGATTCTGACATGGCACGGTGGGCAGAGCCACAAAACGGCTGCTGCTGCAGGAGGCGGAGCCAGCCACAAAAGGGCCGCTGCGGCGTAAACGTCAGTCGCGCCGTGAAGATTCTTGTGCTCTGTCGGCAGCGGCTGCTCAAGCGACGTTTTAAAAAACCTACGCAGCCAATCAAATCTCCAGTGGCCATTCAGAACCCTTGCTGGGCAAAAGCCCTATCTGGCCCCGCCCACTTCCTAAAAACCCTTGGCGGGCACCAGGAAAGGTGTCGGTGAGTGCCGTGGGCGCCCACGGGCATCACGTCGGGGACCCCTGATCTAATGCGTGGTGCCCCTGGCCAATGTTCGCTCTAAGCTGTGGAATCTTGTGAGCAAAAATTCTACTTTGTGAGCTACCGGCATTAAAGTGGTGAGCAAGCAATTTGGCTACTGCGTAAATCAGTTTGCTCTGAAGCCCTCCTTCCTGAGCGAAGGCAAAAATGTGTGAGCCGGAGGCTAAAAAACTGTGAGCTAGCTCACACTAACTCGGCGTAGAGGGAACACTGCCCCTGGCCAGTAACACATCTGACAGGATTCAGTCCCCTCATTAAATGTAAATCATTTGTCCCCCCCCCCCCACAATGACTTCCCTTCTTAATCTTTTCTGGCTCATGGCTGTGCCCAGGAATTTCACTCTTCAGCCTCCGATGATAGCCCCCTGAACAGTGAGGTGTACGTGATGGGAACGTTCAAAATCTACAAGAACACACATTCCTAAGTCAGTCAGGCATGAAAAAAAGACATACAGATGTGTGCTAGGTGCCCAGAGAATAATACGATGGCAAAAGGGACGATCAGTGATGGCGAACCTTTTAGAGACCCGAGTGCCCAAACTGCGACCCAAAACCCACTTATTGATCGCAAAGTGCCAACACGGCCATTTAACCTGGATACTGAGGTTTTACTTTAGAAAAAACAACTCATACATTAACTTCAGATGATCCAAACAAAGTAAAGGAAGCAATCCCAAATGCTTTCATTTACTTAAAATTATTTGGCAGAGAATTCGACACTTTAATGATGGTCTGGGCCTGGCTGGGGCGATGGCACGTGTGCCCACAGAGAGGGCTCTGAGTGCCACCTCTGGCACCCGTGCTATAGGCTCGCCACCACTGGACTAGATTAAAGCCGTAACATCATTTCGTGTCTGGTAATGAAAAACAACCACTTATTCCTTCACGGAAAAAAGACAAAGGTCAGTAAAATTAGACATAGCTGTCTGCACCAAGCTCTCTCAGTCAACATCCTTCTAACAGTCTTGTATTCTCAAAAGCAGTCTGCTTCAAATTCAATCTCTCTTTCAACACTTATTCCGGATATTTAAGTGTTTCAGACCTCTGGTCCTTCCTCAGGAACAAATCCTATATAGGAAATCTCACATTCAATGTTATCGTCGAGTTGACATGTTCATTGATTCACTTTTTCTGTTAATCTACTTGGGCTTATTTTCCGTCAGGTATGAAAAAATATATACAGACATGTGCTAGATGCACACTACGTGGGTTCAGTTTACTTTGGCAGCAGTAGCGGCAGCTTGGAAAGAAGTGAGGAGAGGTCTTGAAACACTTAAATATATCCGGAAAAAGTGTTGAAAGAGAGATTGAATTTGGAGCAGACTGCTTTTTGAGAATACGAGACTGCTGGAAGGATACTGACTGAGAGAGTCTGGAGCAGGCTGCCATGTGTAATTCTACTGACCTTTGTATTTTTTGTTTTTGTTTTGTTAAGTGGTTGTTCTTCATTAAAGGTTCCCTTGCTCGAAAGCCAGTTGAATCCGACTCTAGGGTTGCGGTGCTCATCTCTGTTTCAAAGCCGAAGAGCCAGCGCTGTCCGAAGACGTTTTCGTGGCCATGTGGCCGGCATGACTAAACACCAAGGCGCACGGAACGCTGTGACCTTCCCACCGAAGTGGTACCTATTTATCTACTTGCAATTTCTTGCTTTCGAACTGCTAGGTTGGCAGGAGCTGGAACTAGAGACGGGAGCTCACTCCATCATGCGGCACACTCGGGTCTCAAACTGCTGAACTACCGACCTTCCACAGCCTGCAGTTCAGCGTCTTAACCACTTGAGCCACCACAGCTCTTTGTTCTTCATTACCAGACACTAAATGATATGGCTTTAATTTAGTCTCTTCTGTCATTGTATCATTCTGTGGGCATTGAGCACACATCTGTATATATATTTTCTTTCATACCTGACCAACATTCAAAATCTGGCATGCAAAGAACCTTTGCCCTGAAAATCTTTGCTAGTTTAGAAAAACGGAGGACCCGGAGCCTCGAAGGGTTAGAATTTCCTGTGCTGTTAGACAAACATTGGCCATGGGTGGTGGAGAACGCCGTCAAGTCGCAGCCGACCTATAGCGACCCTGTAGGGTTTTGGAGGCAAGAGATGAACAGAGGTGGTTTTGCCATTGCCTGCCTCTGCGTAGCAACCCTGGACTTCCTTGGAGGTCTCCCACCCAAGTACTAACCAGGGATGATCCTGCTTAGCTCTCAGATCTGATGAGGTCAGGCTAGCCTGGGCCTTCCAGGTCAGGACTCAGACAAGCAGAGGAGGTTTTGCCATTGCCTGCCTCTGCACAGCAACCCTGGGCTTCCTTGGAGGTCTCCCACCCAAGTACTAACCAGGGATGATCCTGCTTAGCTCTCAGATCTGATGAGATCAGGCTAGCCTGGGCCTTCCAGGTCAGGACTCAGACAAGCAGAGGTGGCTTTGCCTTTGCCTGCCTCTGCACAGTAACCCTGGGCTTCCTTGGAGGTCTCCCACCCAAGCTCTAACCAGGGATGATCCTGCTTAGCTCTCAGATCTGATAAGATCAGGCTAGCCTGGGCCTTCCAGGTCAGGACTCAGACAAGCAGAGGTGGTTTTGCCCTTGCCTGCCTCTGCACAGCAACCCTGGGCTTCCTTGGAGGTCTCCCACCCAAGCTCTAACCAGGGATGATCCTGCTTAGCTCTCAGATCTGATGAGGTCAGGCTAGCCTGGGCCTTCCAGGTCAGGACTCAGACAAGCAGAGGTGGTTTTGCCATTGCCTGCCTCTGCACAGCAACCCTGGACTTCTTTGGAGGTCTCCCACCCAAGTACTAACCAGGGATGATCCTACTTAGCTCTCAGATCTGATGAGGTCAGGCTAGCCTGGGCCTTCCAGGTCAGGACTCAGACAAGCAAAGGTGGTTTTGCCCTTGCCTGCCTCTGCGCAACCACCCTGGACTTCTTTGGAGGTCTCCCATCCAAGTACTAACCAGGGATGATCCTGCTTAGCTCTCAGATCTGATGAGATCAGGCTAGCCTGGCCCACCGAGGTCAGGGTCTAAACATAGGCCATTACGTGCCAAGAAAGGACTTTGGGGCAACCAAATGTTTTACCCAATGCCACCCAACAGAGGGTTAGTGTAGCTACTGCGGGGCAGAAAAGAAGCAAAGCTGGATTTGAGGCAGCCGCCACTGGACTTCAAAACTTCTTCATGTGCAAAGATGTCACACAGCTGGCAAGGGTGACACATTAGGAGGATTACAGTGTCTACGTAAGACAGCAACAAGGAGAACCACTGTAATAAGATGCTACATAAATCTCATAATTAAATAAACTTGTCTGTGATTGCTTTTTATATACCTTAATAGTGAATAATTACAATTATGAAATAAAAAAGCATATCATTCCACTGAGGTGTCTGTAGAATCATAGAATCATAGAGTTGGAAGGGACCTCCAGGGTCATCTAGTCTAACCCCCGGCACAATGCAGGAAATACACAAATACTTCCCCCTCCACACCCCCACTGACCCCTGTTCCACGGCCAGAAGATGGCAAAAAGCCCTCCAGGATCCCTGGCCAAACGGGCCTGGAGAAAAATTGCTTCCTGAACCCAACGTGGCGATCGGCATTTCCCTGGGCGGGTAAGAAAGGGGCCACGAGAACTAAGCCCTGAGGCAACCCTTCCTGCCCTCCCTTCTCATGATTTCCCTAAGCTCACAGAATACGCATTGCTCAATTTCAAAGCAGGTAAGTACAATTTTGTAAATTTAGGAAAACATCAACATCAAAAAGAAATCATCGAAGGATGAATCATCACACGAGGATTGCGGGTACAGACTTCTCCCTCGTTTCGCTAAACCACTATAAATGTTACAACTATTTACAAGATGTTCTCTCCAAAGTTTATGTAAATACCCATAAGGGTGACAGTCATTCCAAAAGTAGTTCTACATCTATTATTGAAATCTTGTGTGTGGGGGCACCATTCAAATGGAAAATAACACTGGATTAGTGTGCGGACTCTAATCTGGGAGAACCGGGTTTGATTCCCCACTCCTCCACTTTCACCTGCTGATGTGACCTTGGGTCAGTCACAAGCTCTAGCACAGCTGTCCTTGAAAAAGAACAGTTTCTG